TATAAATTGTGTCTTCTCTAATTTTTTCGTTGATTTCATTGCATTTATTATCTATACTTGACAGGTGGTGTGCAAAACCATTTTTGTGCATCATCATATATAAATGTGTATTGAATAATTGTGGGGCCTGAAAAGGAATAAGTCATTTGAATAAATAATTCAAGATAGCAGTATCAGCCATCGACTCAGCTTGAAGACACATCGGTCGCGGTATCGTATCCCCCGATATAACTTAAATGAAAATGTTTAATATGATGAAAAATTTTAGTCATACTACGATGTTATGGAATTGTATCAGTCAATCTGATGACGATAACTTGACAACTCCGAATTGGCTTGGATACAATTTGGTTAAGTCGTGCGAGTAATGGTATTATCTCAGAGGGTGTAGAGTCAAATATGACTCGACCAACTTGTATCAATACCAACCGATACTTTAAATCATGTTTGAATGAATGTAGGGTCTTGATTAAAGGGTATAAAATGGAACCAACATAATAAAGAAAGACATAGGGAGACCAAAAGCCATAATAAAGAAAGACATAGGGAGACCAAAAGCCATAATAAAGAAAGACATAGGGAGACCAAAAGCCAGAGATCTTCCGCACCTTTCTAGTCAAGGGTGAGCCAAATACATGAAAAAAACCCGGGATGGATAAGAAATAAGTTGCACCAAAAATCACCGTGAAACAGAACAAAATTCAAAGAGTGATACAGAGCAGGATGAATATTTAAGGTTACAAACAATTGTAACAGAAAAGTTAAAATAATACTATTTTAATAAAGAGTAATGTTACAAAAACTTAAATAAAATCTAAAAAATTATAATTCAAATGCATATCATCCTTGGATGAGTGAATCCCATCAATTTTTCAGTAGGATCCACTCATCTCACACTCATCAAATGGATGATATTCATTTGAGTTTTAATTTTTAGGTTTCATTTGAATTATGTAGCATTTTTCTTTAATAAAAGTTTTAAACGTACCCTACAATTTTGCTTTCGGGTGGGGTCAGTATATCATGTTAGTATTGATGACATGATATCAATACTTAGAGAAAATATTCGTTACATCGGTGTTACCACATGACAAAGTAATGTGGTATCACCAATCAATAATATTAAAATAAATAAACAAATAGACCCCACAAAAATTGATAATTAACATGTCATATAAGTCCAAGTGGGGTTCACTTTATCCATGTAGAATTTTACTATTGGTTAGTGATATCATGTCATTAGTGGTGACATGGTATCACTGTTGCATTCAATATTTACTCCAATAACTAATAATAAAACTCTAAATGGCCAAAGTGAATTTCACTCAATTAGTTATTAGTTTACATGGAATAAAATATTGTAGTTATCGGGTAGTTATTGACTTTTGTGGGATTCACTTCCTTTTTTGTTAGCATATTATTAGTTTGTGGTATCAAGTGGTAATGCTGACGTGATATCACCATTGCAATGAATATTTTTTCAATATTATGAGGATCAACACAATTTTGATAATAACAATGCTATTGACACCTAATTTATTGATATAATTTGTTGATCTAATTCATTATGACTTATGAACCTCATCAAACATTACAACTAGATGTTGATATAATAGTTCTAATAAAACCATATCGTTAGGCCAGATTTTTAGATTCAAATAACATTACTCTATTAATAATAATAATAATGCATTACGGGCATTGCATGTAAACAAATTTTCATAATAAAAATTTATTACATCTCTTAAAAGTCTAAGATAATTTAATTAAATATTACCATATCTATACTACTTATAAATGTGAAAAAATTTTGATTTCTTAATTTATCCTAATTATTATTATAATGTCAATTCTACCACATTTATTTTCATTCAATTTTTATTTTTTATCCCTATTTGACCTTTATGTTCTATTAGACTCTTTTATAAGGAGCATTTGACTTCTAAATTCTTTTGAACGCAATTACATTTCATTATTATATACAAATAGTTATCAGATTGACTAAAATGATTAAAAAAAAGAAATAGTTAAAGTTATATTGTTTAGAATTTTGTAATTGAGATTATTTTTTAGTGATGTTTGAGAATTAAATTGTTTGAATTTTATTTGATTAGGATTCCACTTATAATTCTTTGAATAAAAACATAATAATTGTCAATATACTAATCACATTGAAATTTTACTATAATTAGGAATTAGTTAGGTCAATTAGGATAAGATTTAATATACTACCCTATAATATATTTTATCAAGCATATTAAAAATCTAAAAAATTTAAGTTTTACTTAAAAATATACTACAATATCTATTTTTGTATAAAATCTTAATACAATTTGAAATGTTTATTGTGATTAAAGAATTGTACTCACGTAATGCAAATTAATTTAAAAAAAATTATATATATGAAGGGTTAAACTTTTCGATGAAAACAAATGCACATATACAGACATAATATTATATTTGCATATAAGATAAATAATATTAGATTGACGGAATTTTTGAATATTTTATTGAAAATATAATGATGCATATTTTTTAAGGGTAATATAATCAATCAATTGTTTTTATAAAAACTAATTAAATAATTAAAATAGATGTTATCGATAATTTGAAGATTTAAAGACATAAGGATGATAGTAATTTAGATATTTAATTATGAAATGATAGAATGATCTTTACAATCCTTTATAAGTGTAAAATAGATTCAAAATTTTTTCATCTTAAGGTATTGTTATTAGTAATATATTGATTATTATATACATGTAGTTGTCAAATTGGCTTTTATTGTCAAATATATATCATATTTAATTTTTTTTATATGTAACAATATCATAATATTATAATAAAAATAATATTTTATAATTTAATTAATATCTTTGGAAAAAAATATAATAAATATTTAATATATTAAAATATACAAATAAATGACAAATAAAATTTTACTATAAACAAAAAAGGAATGTCTAAAGTAGTCGGAGAGATACCTAAAAAAATTAAAAGTTTAGATACTCAAAGATGAATTGAATAAGTAAATAATTAAAATGAGAATTAATTATTCAAATCATAATTTATTATTTAATTATATTATATAAATAATTTAAATTTTTTATAAAAAATTAATATTTAAATATATTCACGTGCAACGTATGTTATGCATTACTATTATTATTCAAGTTTACATTTTAATTGTGAATACTATTCATTCAAATTTACATTCTAATTGTGAATACTATCTTATTGAATTCAAAAAAGTTATTCAAGGTAAATACTATCATTATAAATAAAAAATGAACTAAAAATCACTAAACAACATTACTACGGTTAAGTATAATCTGACTAAAAGCCACAAATCTAAATAGTTTGTAATTATTAAAAAAAGATGTGACCAACTTCGGTCGCCATCGTATCAGGTCAACGAATGCCCTACAGTAGGTTATCAACGGAAACCTTATATAACTAAATTATTTGTCTCTTCCTCTGGCCATAACCCAACTCAAGCGCGACCCAATACAAATTAGAGTCTAAAATAAGAATTTCACATGAGATCCCAATCAATATTTTTAAAAGATAGTAAAAAAATTATAATTATTAAATAGTTTATAGAGAGCTACAGTATAATTTAATTTGAACATTTTACTTTTTTTGTTCATTTTAGGATTGGATCGGATTATACAATAAATTTGATATAAAAGATATTACAAATGAATGAATTGATTGGATGATCAAGGGAGAGTGAGAGAGCTATAGATAAGGACAAAGACTCAGCAAGACAACAAGAGTTGAAGGGAGAGAAAACTTGAAGAGAAATGGTGAGAGTGGAGTAAAAGATAGTGAAAAAAATTTGGGAGAGATTGTCATTTTTATAGTTAGAAGTCGTTACTTTTACTTTTTGAAGATGACTTTGGAATATTTTACGGCTTTCTTTAAAATTTTACGTAAACTTATGAAGATATATTATATTTCAGGGTGTTCTATAAAATTTTACATACATTTATAAAATACATTTTTTCTTTAACTTTGTCAATTCAAAAGGGATTCAAAACATGAAAATAAACTATGATCTAAAAATTAAATGATGCCCTAAATTTTGGGGGCTTCAGGTGACTATTTTAATGAATTGGGTCTAGGACCAATCCTGTTATGCCTCCTCCTAATCAAATGATCGAAGTGTATGCATATCTCGTAACGATCAGTCTCTGCATATCCCTCACTGTCGAGTCTTTGTCCATGAAACTGATTTGGTAAGACTAAATTGATCATTGGATGACACATAACGATTAAAAATAATATATGTGTTAATTCATATATTATTCATTTTATTTAAATTTATCAAAAATCCTGCGTGCAACTGTTCATTGTACAATCCATCTATTCAATTGTACAATTCATTGAAATTGTAAATATACGTAGATCTCATGGCTAAGTGCACTTTTTTTAGCAAACAAATATGATAAAATTATATTTTTTAACAATTATTTTAACAAATATCAATAACAAGGGGGTTATGTGTTACACGTACACATATATCAGGAGGTGTAGAGTAGTATTTTAAATGTGAGATGTCCAAATGATTAAATGACAAGCATGAAAAGATCTATGTGTAATTTATCTATTTAATTTTAGAGAGTAAACTGTTAGATTCAGGTGCACATTTATAGGAATTCCTATATTTGAATATACAAATTAAAATTTTTTATTTTTAAGAGTACAAATTCAAATTTGAACAATTTTTTAGGGTGCAATTTACAATTAATCCAAAAAATTATATTGAATTATAATTTTTAGCTTGTATTACATTATTCCCCTCCCTAATTTGGGACCTTATTTATAAGTGACAAAAAGCCGACGCTTTTTTTCCTCCCCGGCACTGCCTAACCCTAATAGCCAATATACTTAAAGAAAGATCAAGAAGCTACCCAAACCCTGCGCAGTTTCGGTAGTGAACGTCACTATAAGTCTCTCCGGTGAGGAACCCGGTGAGGAACATGATGAAAAGAAAGATGGAACCGGAGCCCATCGAACCCGAACATCTGTGTTTTATAGACAAACACACCGGTAAAGTCACCTTTTTTCCTCTGAAGCCTCTTCGCCTCATCAACATAGAAGGATACGGACGAGGGAGAGTACTACTGCCTCTTCATTCTCTGGTAAGCCAACAGATAAGAAAGATGAGTTTCTTCTTCTTCTTCTTCTTCTTTGCTTTTTTTAAACCCATCTTTATTTAGGGTTCTGACTCTTGGTTTTTGTCCTACTTTTGGTTCAGAAACAAAAAGAAGAAGAAGGAGGACATGACGATGTTGATGGTGATGGTGATGATGAAGCTACAAAGTTTCAACTGGTTCGTCTTCTCTCAGAAATTTCTTCAAGAACTGAAAGAGAAGAACCTCAACCAGTGGAAGATACGGAGATGTTAGAAAGTTTCGATGAAGACAACATAGAACTCCAGCGGGATCTCTTAAACTTCTATTCCAAAGGAAAAACAGAGATCATAATAAACGGTGAAGATGATTCCAAGAAAACCCTAGATGTGAAAAAGAAAGGGACGGCTAGGTCATGTACATTGGACAGTAGTACTTTCAGAACCATCTCTTCAATAAGAAGTTACGAAAGGGGTGAGTCTTCTTGGACCTCTTGTGTAATTTGCACTGATGAAAAACCCACCGGAACAATGATAGCAAACAATGAGTGCGATCACTTCTTTTGCAAGGACTGTATAACCATGTATATCGCTGAAAAGCTACAACAAGAAGATATTCAAGCCGACATGAAATGTCCCCAATCAAAGTGCAAGGAGTTCTTGGAACGAAGATTCGTTCTGCAATTTGTTCCAGAAGAAATGAAGGATCAATGGAGGAGTGCAATTCGCGAAGCTTCCGCTCTGGCATCACAGAGAGTAATTTACTGCCCTTTTGAGCACTGTCAAGGTATGTTCTTCGACGATGGAAGGGGCTTCTTGATCAGAGCGTGCCCGAATTGCTGGAAAATCTTCTGCGTTCAGTGTAGGGTTTCATGGCATATGGGTTTAAACTGTGAGACATTTCAACTTCACTTGAGACGACAACAACGCCACATGGAAAGATGGTACGATCAATTTGCTGCTGGTTTCTTAACGAAGCACAAGATTGTATAGATGTCCATTGTCCCAGCTACATGTCTTGGCGAAACAGGTCATAATTTTTCATTCGAATATTGCTTGAATTTCAGTTTTGTGGTGCCATTTACTCTATCTAAAAGTTACTATTTTGATGATTTTGGTAATTGTAAGTTAGGCACTATAGCTCCATAGTTATTACTAGACATTGGTCTTGAGTATTCCTTTTGGGTTTAATACGAAATCAATGCAATTAAATTCATTCCAGTTGGGTGCTTCTGTGTATATTAGTGTGTGATTTGATTTGAAAGAATGAACCCACCTGGATCATGAAGGCGAAAAATGCTATTTGGACATGGGATCTAATTTAATGTAATACTGACATTGAAATTCACAACTAATCTAATGACTAAATTAAGTTTCTGGTTAGATACCCTATAATATTGCTCAAATGAGGTAGCTTTTTTTGGACGAGTCATGTTATACTATCTAATTTAGGGATCTAATGAGGGACTTAATTCAATGATGTCATTAAATTAGTTTTTAATCCAATGGTTTCACTGATTTTAGGCACTTCAATTAAGTCTAAATAACATTTTTCTTGTTAGACTAGTAATACTATTGGGACAAAAAACATAATATAATCTACTGATCTAATGATGTAACCATGATATGATTTAATAATAATGTTGTGATTGAACTCTTTTTTTGGAATTCCATCACTTAATGTATCATTATATTAGTAAATTAAATCAATTTTTAGACTTAGATTAACAAGTTTTAGTTCAACCCATTGCCCCAAAAACCACACATATTTGGGGTGGGTTGGTGTGGTTATATGTGCTCATAAAGTTTTTGGCCCAAAGTGACCATTGTTGCCAGCCAAAACTCTAGGCAATTTCTTGTCTCCAGATGTAGTGGGAACAGAGCATATTCATAAAGTCATAACCCAAGTCAACGTTTAGGTTGACTTGGTAAAGCAGTCGGCAGCCTATGAGATGTATGGGGCCATTTATAACTTGTACACCATCACAGTTAGATTTACCAAAGTAGCAGGGCCTAGAACCTTAACCCCTCTTACGATTTTGTGATAATTGGGGAGTTATAACGAATTAAGTATATCACTTAAATATATTTAGGAATACATCACATTACTAACTTTTTAATAAGTAGTGAAATCCACAATTTTTTAATAACTTTAAAATATTTTTTCCTATGACGTTGAAAGTGAACCGATTTCCAAATTTTTCAAAGACGTTTTACTTCTCCCTAAACATATCGTAGAATTTCCCATTTTTTTGAGTTGGATTGATTCATAGAACCAGGGGAACCAACATCAAAGAATTTCGCTTTTAGGCAAGGTTCTTCTTTGAGTTCGAGCGTTAATGCTTGGACAGCTTGCCTAATAGTTTTAACTTTCAAGTTCCATTGTTGTATTGTATATCCTCATTCGGGCGTACTTTCAATGCTCGAACACTTGTTGGAGTCTAAGCTCAAAGGTATCAACATTTAGAAAGAAAATTCATCCAATTTATTAATTTAATAATGTGTCAAGTGGTAGCATTTTAATACAAAAAAAAATGTAATTCTTGAGAATATCTCGACAGTCACAAATTGGTCCGCTTAGTTTATGCCACCAAATATCCTAATTGAAGTTGGGAAGGGAAAACGACTTGTTCGATGCAGGGGAACTCTGGCTATGTTTTTTTTATCGCAATTTTTTTGGTTTGAACCTTAATGAAAAAACATTATTGATATCAAATCTTAGTTACATGTCATAAGGATTTGATTATGGTACCGATAAAAAAAGTTCGGTACCACAATTTCAAAATTTATTATTTTAATGGGTTTTTTTATAACCCAAAAATTATTACATTTGTAATTGCTTTTATTACTGTTATGATAACTATTTTTACTATTTTTTACTGTACAAAATAAACTATCATATTTACGAGTTCTAGTTGTTGTACATGTGTGTTGCATGTAAAATTTTTTTAATTAAAATTTGTGTGTATAGACATAAATTTATGTATATTAATAATTTAATGTTGAATATAAGGTCAAATCCAATGAAAAATCTAAAAAGAACTATCAAACTAAAATAATCTTAATTATTATAGAAAAAAGGTAAAACAAATTAGAATACATACTAAAACTGCGTGTAGTGAACCCAATATTAGACAATCTGAAGACTATATATCCTTTTATTTAATTTTTTATTTATTTATATTTGAGTTAAATCAATCAATAATGCATGCAATCGATACACTGATTTTCTTATAATTTGTTGGAAAAAATAAAAAAGTAAGGAAGTTAATGTCAATACCGTAACAAATCCTTTGATACGCATGGTAAGTAGCACTCCTCTTCCAAATGTCTCTAATTGGTGGATTGATGTCTTTCAATATTTTTTTCTTCAATTTTCTTTTTTTATCAAATTGTCTATCCTTAATGAGTGAGGAAGTCTCTTTTATACAATTTTTCACACTTGAATATATGACAGGTGATCCACCAAGAAACGAGTTACAAAAAAAATATATTAGAAGGGATCCGACAAAAATAAAATAAAATTGAAGAGTAGTTTATTAATCACTACTCATCATGCAATACAAAAATCTAATCCATTTAGAGATCAAGTTTAAAAAAATATAATACAAGATAGGGAGTTCAATAAAGATGTCAAGTCCTAATGCCATGATATCTTTTGACCACAAACCTTGAAAAAGTTACTTTTGAATGTCTTGATGAACTCATCAATGGCTCAGCATAAGCCTTCGCTTACAGTTATATGTGTTGTGCATGCTTTGATTTAACTCCGGAATGAGAATTGGTATTGATTTTTTTAACTCGTTATGTTTTAATTCAATTCATCATAATCTATTTATCGAATAATTAAAAATATTGTGATATTGGATTGCACCCAATTATTCCTAATCCACCTAAGTCTTCCATTCACCATTGCTAAATAAACTCGGTCATTAAAACTGTAAGTCACAAGTTCTTGAAAGTTATTCTCTAACATAGGAATAGTATTGTCTATCACTTGTCTTTTACATAGACCAAAAAGTTATATAATGGATAAGCCTTTTTTAAATATACACATGACACTTGTAGATTTGGCTTGTTACTGTCATTCTCACCGCAAGAACAACAGTCAGCTCATGCTTAGAGTTGAGTAGCATGCAGTAGTGGTGCAACGCTGCAATTGTTTCAAAACAAAAAGAGAAATCTGTAACAGCATGCCATGAAATCATTATCGGCGCCCATAAACCCATATTTTTATTTTGGTGTTATCTCAAAGATCATCATTAAGAATAAGAAATCTTTCAATTCAAACTAAGACATCAGAAAGAACATGTAGGTAAAGTTGTACAACATCAGATGTTTTTATTTTAAAATTAATATTCTATGTAATTTGTTAAATTGTATGATTCTATCTAAAAATAAATAAAGACAGTGCATTCATGATTAATACAACTATATGAGCAATAAACCTATTACCAAAATAAAAAATACATATAAACTTTTATTGAGCCACCCTATTGATAGATAGGTTGATCTAAAGTCATTGGCTCATAGCAATTCGACTAATGGTCTGTGCTATCCTAAACTTCCTATAACAGAATGCATTGGAGCATTCCTTCAAAATGTAGCTTATGGGAAGTTTAGAATAGCACATGTGAACTGTCACAATTTGATAGCACATGAACTATCAAATAAGACTCTAAAATTCATATGCTATTCTAAACCGATAACTTATGTTAGAATAGAGAATTGGACATGATGAACTCACAAAATGCTGGTGCCAATATTGAGTTTGTTCAAATTGGACGTTATCTTGGCACACGTCATTCCAATCTAGCAAGCAATCTCAAGATGTTGTTTCAATGGCAGCGTCTTGCAACTGCAAAACATGAAAACCAGTAGATGATTTACATTAAGTATTTTTTTTTTCTGTAAGTAAGATGAAATCATTGAAACCAAAGAAAATGTACAAGGTGATACCATGGGATGGCCGATCTTCTGAACAGGGGAGACGAAGATCAACCATGCCAATCAGCAAAATAAAATACAAGGAATACAAATCCAAAAGGACTGAACAAAAAATGTACAAAGCATAAGCTTATCTGATGGAGCATCCAGAAAAGAAAAGAAAGAAGGAACAACCAACAAAACTAGCGAACCATCAGCAGCAATCACAACCTCCATTCCAAGCATCAACAAGAAAGAAAACAGCAGGAGGCACCCAAAACAAAACAAGAAGCAGACCAGGCTCCAGCAAGCCCAAGCAGCAACAGGTCAAGACAAACACTAGGAACACGCCACATGCCCATAGGTGGAAGGTCCAGCAAGCAGAAATGCAGCAAAGGGAGAGAATCCTCCACAGGTGGAACACCCAACATGTGTTACAACATGGCCCTGTAAGCTTGCCCACATAGTGATACAAAGCACAAGCCAACCCCGGCAAGCAGAACAACCAACAACAACAAACAAACAGCACCCACACAGCACGAAACCCGCAGCAAAACAGAGGATGAATCATCGCATCATTGACGCAACCAGAGCATCACACTCTCCACACATACCTCATAAACAAACGGATCACAAGCATTCCACTGGAAAGGCCAACACCAACGAGTAACAGCCACATGTGATGAGTCAAAGAACAAAGATATTGTCAGGCAAGGCCCATTGTCTTTTGCAACCATGCATTAGGATTGTTTCTTTTGATTCCACGGCTCGCATGAAGCTTGAGTCTAACATTTTCCACTATCTCCTTATAAATGGAGACCACATCTCTATAGGAGTTTTTAAAAACCCTGTGATTCCTCTCCCTCCAAATCATATAAATTGAGATGGCGAGCATCAATTTGCCAATCAGCTTTTGGAAAAGCCTTCCCCTTCATGTTTGTAGCATACCAGTTAACCAAATCAAGCCAATCAAGTCTTGGCCATTGGACATTCACTTTGTCTTTCAATGAAATCCATATTCTCTCAGTGAAAAGGCATTCAAAAAAAAGGTGGTTATGAGTTTCCAC